TCCGTACCCTAACCATATATCCGCCTCGAACTCAGTGACACAATGACAAGGTGGGTGCTCATAGCACCACACACAGGCTGTTCCCCAATCTCAATGGCGTGAAGGGACGGGTTTAATTATGTGTGTGTAGGTCGGGCATTCGCAGAAAATTGACAACCAGCACATGCGATAACCGGGGTCGAGGTTTTTCCAGTTCACCAACATCTCTTCCATGAGGTTTTCAACCGACATTTGTATTTCGCGCCATGCCACTCGGCTACCAACTGTCGCAATAGGAGTAGTAAAACGGTGTAAGAAAGATTCAGACATGGGATCAGCTGTTGAGGAACAAGTAGAGTGTGTGAACGATGCGAACTTTTGGATAAGGTCATCGAACCCGTAGAGACAGGGCGATGAAGGAAGCTGGAAGATCATGAATGTGGTGGTGGTGATGAGGAAGAGGGGGGAACCAATGGAGACAGTGGAGATAAACAGAGGGAGAGGAAGAACATTCAAAGTTTACGGTACTACTTGAATTATCTCATGTGAAAAGCACAAATCTGTTTTTGGCGACCATCTGGTTTTTATGATGTTCACTTCGAGGAACATCCGGAACAAACACACAATATCAAAGTCCGGTCACGAAGCGCCCATATCTCGATTGCAATCGGTAGTCCGTGGTCCGAACCTGACCTCTATCTATCGACTTCCCCTGTCTAGGCTTGGGCAACCTGGCAGTATCCCAGTCCTCGTGCTTCCCTCTGGCGGCACGGCAGTTAGGCACCGAAAGGGTGCTACAATTGAACGATTTATTAGTCAATATCACGGGTGTTTGTATGCGGTGTCAGTATACGCCCGCCTGATTGCAACTTCGAAGCGCGATTCATCCTGCAGACAACGCACACCCTGTATTTCTCACAGGCGCAGTGAACGGTCGAGTGAGTGAACTTCCAGAGTGCATTTGAGTAGTCCACTCAAGATGGGGAAAAACGGCGGCGAGCGTTTCCTCCAATTATGAGCCTGTTGCCAACAATGTTTTTGGTCTTATCCCCCGTCAAACATTGAACAATCGTGAAGGCCACTGGATTATGTCGTCACCATCATGAACAAGACCAGCGCTGACAATGATGTTTCATTGCCGTACAGACACAAAATAAATTTAACTATAATTGAAGCCGTAATGTAAAGAGAAGGGAAAATCGTGGGAGAAGGAGGCTCCTGGTGTTGGCCTACATCTCCAGGCGCTCAATCGGACAATCTGGAAAGTCACTGACAGTGATCGTTCACCATATTTTAAAATATCTGCAGTCAACTGCAGGGAGAGGGGTCCAAGGGGACTCCATCCTGAAAGGCGCACCGCACCAACACTGGATCACGTGTCGTGAGAGGGTGTCAATTCGAAATCTCCCTACCACTCGAGTGCTTCCTCTCCTATCCAGATCCCATAGGATGGCGACGGAAACTATCTGTTTCCAAGGTGTAGTATAGAATCACCCGGTGCAGAAAAAAAACCACACCCCGGGCCGAAACAATAGCACACCGGGTTTACATTTGTCGTCGCATGGTTAAAGCAAGTCCAACGCTGTCCAGAACCGTGCACACCAACAACACTAAGCAACTCAACAGTGTGTGTGTGTGTGTGTGTGTGTACGTGCTTACCAAGACAAGCAATGCCAGGCCCGGATCATCATCCATGTGTTTGTTCGCAGAGTGCATGCATGCTATTTATGGAATCCCACAAAACTCACAACAACAACAACAAAGCCAGAGTCAGAAGGAATAGAACCGCAGCAAAAATCGTGAACTGCACATGACTGGCCACGTGTCTGAAGTGTAAGCGAACGGCTTGCCGGACGCTTAGCATAACACGAACGGTGTAGCTGAAACAAACAACTGTACCGTTAAGAGAGATCGCGCTTCACAAGGTTTCTCGACCACACGTACACACACACACACATACACGCGCAGCGAACTCTTCTCTAGATGAGATTGCATGCTCAACTGCTGTTAAAATAGGCACTCGTTCGGACCGAGAACGTAAGTGGGTGGTTTAGTGAACCACCGAATGATGCTGGTGGCATGATGATGCGGGTGATTCGCCGACGGTAGTTCACTGCCGTTAGGTGACCCTCAGTCGGGCGTAAATCAAAACTTTGAGGACTACAGCTGCTTCAACCATGATAAATACGGACTCAAGCCCGAACAGCTTGTCGTACAGTGTGAAATGACCTTAGCAGTGCGATATTTACAACCCTCAGCGTCTGACTAAGTCTCCGTAAACAGCCAAATCTGGAGTGTCCATCCATGCAACAAATAACATACACTCCTAGTACGCGATTTCTGCAAATACGCTGTCAAACAGTAGCTAGAAATCTGTGAAAGTTACCTAGCTGGTGGTCTGTCCTGGTAGCCAGGACGTTTCAGCTCAGGAGAGGCGCCACTAAGTGACCGTCCCTCAGCGGAACTGGGTTTAGGTACGGTAGACGCCACCGGGCTACGACCATTCGCCACCCCTGGCGATGACCTACACTTGACGGCCGATATTCCTCCGATTCCCACGCCCATCCAGACCATTCTCGTTCATCATGTTTGACATAGATTCGCCGGAAAAACCTAAGAAACACATTCCTCGTCTAATAACCGGAGCATTTCACACAATTTACTGAGGGGATACCTGTGAATTTGTAAAAGCAACAGGCCTCGTAATACATTTAAATTGGGAGGGTTTCGGCTAGAAATTCGGCAGCTGGTGTTAAGACGAGTCTCAATGCGGAGCGTTGTACTCCTTCGGAAGTTTCGCATACTCTGTGGGGTCTGTTAGCGATCAACTCAAACAGTCTGGTGCGGGCCAGACGGAGTGAGAAGACTCACGAACTAGAGTGGTGTAAGGCAGCTGGTAACGTTTGCGTACACAGAATGGGACCTAAAAAAACGAAGGCTGATAAGTCAAAGATAGAACCGCAATTGGACCGCCTTACAGAAGAATTTGCTTGATGATGTACCTCGCACTAGTGTTCTTCATACAGTGGCACAACAGAGCTGTGAACTCCAAATAGAATCTCTCTCGGCTTCTGCCCTGAAACGAGATTGATCCAAAAAAAACCGTCCACCTGTAACACCCTTTCGGTGCCTAGATGTTAAGTCACCCGGAGAAACCACAAGAGTTGAGATACTACCAGGTTGCCCAAGCCGAGACAGGAAAAGTCTAGATGCAGACGTGAGTTCGAAACTCGGACCTTCCAATCAATATACTCGTGCGCAACACATCCGGATCGATCTGATGCACGCGTGTTCACAAAAGACTGATATGTCTTCGTATTCTGACAAGACTAAACTGTTACGATTAGTGTAGGGACAAGAATGCATTCGCGAAAAGGGAGGCGAACACAACGGCATCTCTTTGTACAAAAAGGTACCTAAAGCGAATAAAGCAACGACGGTAGCATAAGCCCCGTGCCAGTTGGGGTACTTTTACTGGTGGACTCAGTAATACCGTAACACTTAAGACAGGCACGTGAGACACAAACGCGACAGGATGAGGCAGAATTTCGATCAGATGAAGAGCACACAGTGCGAGGTATACTACTGAGCCGTTGAGAACTCTACACGCCTGACAGTCGCGTGCAGAATTTGCCAAGGAAGAAATTCCTTTCTGCCCATACTTCCGGTTGCGTGCAGGCAAAAACGCACTTCCGACTTATAAGACCTGTCCAGGTTCCTTCCCATCTTCAATTTTTCTTTTCAAGCAACTTTGAATCTGAACATCGAAACCACGTTAAGTGAAACAATCAGGACTCTAATTATGCGTTGTACAAGCGATCTTACGTGGAAATGGCCCCTCGTGCACGCGCGCGTTTTGCGCCCTCAAGGTGAGGATTATCAGCTCCTGACATCTGTTTGGGAATCCTGATAGATGTATACGACAACCGACGAGTTTAACGCACGCATCGATAAGACACGACGAACTGCATTAGCCATCTTGCGACATATTCGATCTCACAATCGAAGTTTATCATATTAAAGGGCACGCACCATCAACCGTACTATATGGCGGTGAGACCTGGCCTCATCCAAACGACTGGTCAGGGAATCCCCGAGGAGCATGGCGGGCACTGACCAGCCGCAACAAGTTTGCCAAAATGTGTAGGTTAAACAAGGACTGTGTAGTCAGTTGTAGTTGGTCGAGCTGCAGTTGTCGCTCTCCAGGTTGAGACATGTATTGCGATTACCGTTTATGCTCTATAGCTTCCCTGCTCAAGTTTCTTGTTGACTGAAAAGCTCGCGGGGAAAAGTGAAACCGATCACCATTAAGCCGAGTGTTGTGTGATCTTCGTTCGCACCGCCGTCACGAAGAGACTGGACCTTACCATGGTGTGACGGTTTGCGCACCTCAGCGATCCATTGAGCTATACTGGAGAATGTCTCGCGACACTCACAGAGTCTCTCATACCAGGTTGGGGGTTGGAACATGTGGCGACTTGTTCCGTAGAAATGGTAATGCATTTGAATTTCCCGCCAAACACCGTTTGCTTGCGGTTGGGCTTTTGAGCCGAAGGCTCTGGTTAAGGACCCTAATCGTCCTCCTGTCTATGTGTGGGCGCCTTGGCAGTATCCCAGCCCACGTACAACCATGAACATGGTTGGCAGTGAAGCATCGGTTTTGAACACTGATGATGATGATGACGATGATGTCTGCACCGGTTTGATGTCCATCCGGCTATCCTTGCCTATGTGTGGCAACTCGGCTTTGGATGGAATATATTCAGTCCCAATCAAGAATCCGCTGTCATCTGTTTTAGTAATAACTTCTATCGACTCTCTCTTCACTCGCTTCACTGATTCGTGATGGTCAGTTAGCGGCACGTAGCACTCGTGTTTTGTTGTCCACGTTGATGCTATCTAATCACATACAAAACTCTGTCCATGGTTGACCGGAGTCGAGCAAATCATACACATGTCAAGAAAACAGTGGTATGGCGTTGAGACAAGTTTATCAGAGCTTTAAAAGCTGTATCCTTGAAAGGCATCGACAAACATCCGCCAGAAAATTGAGTGGTCGTAATTCTAGGATCCCAAGGAGGGGTCCAGACATAGTGTACCGGTGAAACTACTGATCGGGGAGATATGCAAGTAGTATGTTTTCTTATTGTAAATTCGCTTTGCGTCCCTTGAAAAGGGAGATCTATTGCGGAATTTGTGGAGTCGCTTTGTAGCATTTGCTTGCATTTGAGAAACGGTCAATGAATATCCAGGAAGCTTCAGACAGACGCGTTCAAGAAGAGTATGGATATTCAGTTTTTGTAAACTACATGCATATGAGAGTTTTGCTTCCCTATCCAATAGTCTATAACTGGTTAGTTGGCATTTTCTAATAAGTAACTCCGCAGTGAAGGCCTTTTCTTTTCAATAGTATATTTCAGCTGGATAGTGCAACGGACGTCGAATCAAGCGTAGTTCAGGTGCTTATGAAAAACCCTGGTGGAATCCCGAAGCTTCCGAGATGGGTGAAGTTCATGCCGTCGGGGACCCTCGTGAAATCGTTCATCTAATACAGAAGAAAAAACCCAAG